AGCAAAATTCTGTCAAAAAAAAAAAAAAAAAAAAAAAAAGAATAAATGAAAGTCAACAAAAATAGGTAAAAGAAATTTCAGCAAAGAAAAAAGGGTAGCAAAAGAAAACTAATACACAGAATATATGCTGTAAAAAGTATTAGTTATTAAAATTCAGCCATATTCTGGCTTTGAATATATTGGCGACCAAAAAAGTTAACCAGTTGAGATTCATAGTCCGAGTTTATCAGATGCTTAGGAGCCGCAAAGCTTTGCCTAGCATTCTGTCAAGAGGTTATTGCTGTCTGTGTGAGTAATCTTACATGAATGTCTTCCCAGAATTGAGTTTTCCAAAGAAATAATACGGGAGCAAGGGGCTAGAGTTGTGGGTATTCTGTTTTATCATTCAAAGGCAGATCTCTCTACTTTACAAATCAAAGTACCACTGATGACAACCTCTTGAAATTGAACTAAGCACTAGCCCACAACCTCACATCTGCCTAGAGGAACAACTGGGGAGAAGAGACCAACCAACCAATCTTTTGCCATTCAGTCCGCCCCTCTACCTATTTTGGGCTTAAATTTCTATAAACACTATTAGTTCTGCCCTTTCAAATGGAAGGGTTATTCACTTTGGCTGAAAAAATTAGGAGTGGGCTAATAAATACAGGGCCCTTCCCTGTTTTGAAACTTCGCCATTATTATTCTGTGACTTACAATATGTATTTTAAAATTTATAATACTATTTTACAGATATCTCACAAATCTATGAGGTTGAGAGGGCAGATAGATATAATAATATATGGATGAGAAAACAGGCTCTAGAGATGAGTGACTTGTTCAGGGTAACACTGGTCACACAGCTAAGTCTCTTCACTTACAGTCTGCGTCCTTTGACATGGTTTTTTTCCCGTCTTTATTTTACATGCCCTAGTTCCAGGCCTTTACCATTCTGATGTTTGACCATGGCCCACAAATCTCTTGCTAATATCTATTCACGCTAGATAAAAAGTCTGCCTGTCTTTTATTTTTATACATGCTATTTTAAAGAAAGAGTTGATTAGAGCTCCTTATGCATGCACATTCATTTCTTGGATGCTTTTCCTTTTTTAAAACTGAAATCAGTTGTGATCATGTTTTAATCTCTTTTTAGAATTTAATTTTTGGGAATCTTTCCTCAAGTCTAAAACACATGAAAAATAATGCATATACATGTAATTATATGCAACATTCCCTTCATTATAAATCTTGGCTATTTTTAAAGATGGTTTGAATACTGAATATTTGCATCAATTTTTTCCTTTAGTTTGAAATGCCAGAGTAGCTGTTCTTATTGCTTCTTTTAAAAACTATGATTGAAGTGTGCAAACAGTATCAAATGTTTTACTTTGGGCAAAACTAGACTTTACTGTACCAGAATACTGGATTTCCAGGCCAGGCGTGGTAGCTCATGCCTGTAATACCAGCACTTTGAGAGGCCGAGGCAGGTGCATCACTTGAGATCAGGAGTTGGAGACCAGCCTGGCCAATGTGGTAAAACCCTGTCTTTACTAAAAATACAAAAATTAGCTAGGTATAGTGATGGGCACCTATAATCTCAGGTACTAGGGAGGCTGAGGCAGGAGAATCACTTGAACCTGGGAGGCGGAGGTGGCAGTGAGCCAGGATCACACCGCTGCACTCCAGCCTGGGGAACAGAGTGAGACTCTATCACAAAAGAAAAAAAAAAACAAAAAACAAAAAAACACTGAAAACCCAGTATATTCCACTATTCAGCCACCATATCTTGCTTATAGTCTAATACTGTATGTAAGATACTGTATGTGTATTTGGCTTACATATTTGACCTTTAGACCACATTTTAACAAATCTCTTGCTACATCTGCAATGTCCATTCTCCCCATTTGTATTCACTCAAAGCCAAAGAAACAGTGGTGGGGAAGACGCAAGCACTTGGGAGTCAAGTCAGACCTGAGTTTGAATCCTGACTCAGCTATTTATTAGCTATCACCTGTCTATAGTTTTAAGATCATATGTAAAGCTCTTAGAGCCAAAGGAACTCAAATGTTAATTTCATCATATGTATACACCATAATGCCTTATTTAAATAAATGACCCAGTCAGGCATTATTACCACCATGTACTACGGTATCTACTGAAATGTGGCATGAAGGAAACAAAAACTCATGCCACCTCTACTTTCTCTTCTAATTTGCAGTTTACCTTCTAAGACTCTTAATGACAAAAATAGTATATGGGAATATAGAAAAATAAAAACCAGAACAAAATAGTATATAGGATATAACAGGAAAAGCAGAATGAAAAGGTACATATGGATGGAATAAGAGATCTATGCATGGGGCTGGGTGCAATGGCTCATGCCTGTAATCCCAGCACTTTGGGTGGCTGAGGTGGGCAGATCACAAGCAAGAGATCGAGACCATCTTGGCCAAGACAATGAAACCTTGTCTCTACTAAAAATACAAAAATTAGCTGGGCATGGTGCGTGCACCTATAGTCCCAGCTACTTGGGAGGCAGGAGAATCACTTGAGCCCAGGAGGCAGAGGTTACAGTGAGACAAGATCACGCCACTGCACTCCAGCCTGGTGACAGAGCAAAACTCTGTCTCAAAAAAAAAAAAAAAGATCTATGCATGGAACATGCAACTTAGGGTGGGGCACAGTGGCTCATGCCTCTAATCCCAACACTTTGGAAGGTGGAGGTAGGGGGATCATTTGAGCCCAGGAATTTGAGACCAGCCTGGGCAACATGGTAAAACCGTCTCTACAAAAAATAAAAAATTTTAGCTGAGCATGGTATCATGTGCCTGTGTCCAAGCTGCTCAGAAGGCTGAGGTGGGAGGATCCCTGGTAGAGACTACAGTGAGCCATGATCATACCATTGCACTACACCCTGGGCGACAGCAACACCCTGTATCAAAAAAGAAAAAAAAAAAAAAAAGAATCCGATAAGATTTATATACTACAAAAAAAATTCCTACATAGAAGGCTCACATATGACTTAAAAAAAATTTATTTTCAGTTCCTGGTAACTCACAGAACATAATTACTTTAGGCAAATGCTAAAGCATCAATGAAGTAAGGATTCAATCTCCTGCAGTGGTAACTAGAAAGGATAACTGAGTTTCATCGTGGATTTTTTCCAGTCCTCTTAACTCATAGTCACATATCAATCGGATGTTGTTTCCAAAACCCTTTTTGTCCAGTGGCATGCCCACGCACCCATATGCCCACCTTCAACTCATACCCTGTTAATTTTGTTGGCAGACAACACTTGAAATTCAAACATTATTTTGGCTTTCATTCCCATCCAGATTTATTAAGGCTGCCATGGGTTCTGGCTGAGGTATTTTGGGGTAGGTAAACAAAATAAGATACCTGTATTAATCAGTATTGTTCTCAACAACATGACTAGCAATAATTAGTCATGCTAAAATCTGAACCAATTCTACATGTCTGATAGATTTCTCTTGGTTGTCATTCTTTCCAGTGGCCCCAAAATCGTGTGCATACAATGTTACTTCTGAAAACATTTGTTTTAAAAGTGGTTCTAGTACAGAATGAGTGATCCATTTCAGTAGACGCTGGTGCAGCTACCACATAGGTACAGGTGCCGTCAACTTGCAGCTACAGGTCTTTGCCCACTTTTACAGTGAAGGTTCTGTGCGTGAATGGATAATGTGGGTCATTATGATAAAACAGTATTAAAGGAAAAAATCTACTTCCAGATCCTTTTTGGACTACAAAGACAAGATATTAAAACCACTAGCTTGAAAAGACCATTTATTAATCTTATATATTTACAACTCATGGATTAAAATATCTATTACCAATAAGTTATTTTGTTTGCAGTGTTTTTTTTTTTTTTAAACAGAGTTTCACTCTTGTTGCCCAGGCTGGAGTGCAATGGTGCCGTCTCAGCTCACTGCAGCCTCCACCTCCAGGTTCAAGCGATTCTCCTGCCTCAGCCTCCCAAGTAGCTGGGATTATAGGCATCTGCCACCATGCCCAGTTTATTTTTGTATTTTTAGTAGAGACAGGGTTTCACCATCTTGGCCAGGCTGGTTTCGAACTCCTGACCACAGGTGATCTGCCGCATTGGCCTCCCAAAGTGCTGGAATTATAGGTGTGAGCCACTGCACCCAATCCAGGTTCTAACTTTTTACATTCTTTGTTCTAGATATTTTGAATCACAGCATCTGGCTATCTTAGGAAATTTCAATGACAGCCCATTAACAGGCTTTCTAGAAAGTTCTTTATCTCTGAAAAGAAGGTCCTACTGACTCTCAATCTCTTTCTTGACCTCGTGATCCACCCACCTTGGCTTCCCAAAAGTGCTGGGATTACAGGCGTTAGCCAAAGCGCCCAGTGGTCCTACTGACTCTCTTGGCCACTGCCACATACAGCTTCTAAATAACCTATTGTGAACAGCACATTCATTCCAATACAAATAATGACATCGAGTGACCATTATGAAATATATACCAATATTATCCAATGGCAAAGTTTAACTATATAACAGCAATGCAGTAATGAACACTAGTTGATTAAATAATTGAAAATCAATTAGAATCTCAAGAAACACACCAAGGAGGAACATAGAGGCAGGACAAGGATTATTTATGAAGAATGCGTCAAAGAAATCTGACACTTAAATAACAAAAGCCCCTCCAGGCTAAATAGTTCCTTTGTACTAATTTTGTTACAGCCTAAATGAAAATAGTTTAAAGCTTTATGAAAATTACCATAAATTACTTCCTCCATAACTTCTCTTGCATGGTTCTAAAATGTTGATAATGCTATAATTTATTTACTTAATTTTATATGAAGATATAAAAAATAAATATCATGCATATTTTGTTGACATTTTAAAAACCAACAAATAAAATGCTATTTAGAAAAACTGCTCCTACATACTTGTTACTTATGGAAGATTCAAGCAGGTCTGAGTTTTTATAGCATCCTCAAACTGAAAAGGCTTCAAAATAATCAAATTTATTATTATTTTAGAAATAGAAATGGGATCTCGTGCCATGTTGTCCAGAATAGTCTCAAACTCCTGGGTTCAAATGATTCTCCCAACTTGGCCTCCCAATGTGCTGGTATTACAGGAATAAGCAGCCACTGCACCTGACCAAAACCAGCCAATTAATGCCTATAAGTGATCAAAATATAATACTAAGGAAAATAAAACAATACAAGCCAAAACTGGAGTGGAAACACCTTTTTCACTACAGGTTTTAATTGAAAAGATCTGTGAACTAAAGGAAGTCTTTTCCAAGGGCATGCTGGAAACATAGAAAATGAAATGACAGAAACTTCCCATGTTTCTATCCTTCCTCGGGCATTGTCTTATCCTATTTGTTTCCTGAAACATCCCCTGTTAAGACTCTTGTGATTAAAAAGACAAAAATAAGTATTTATAGAAGTCCATCAGGTTCCTCAGTAAAGCTGAAGTCACACACTAGAGACAGGTGGTCTGAAGGATAATTGAAGGAAGGTAGCCGGTTGGGTCCGATCTGTTCTTCAGTCAGCAGATCGAGAGCTGACCTTACATTGAGAGCGTGTTTAGAATACCAGATGTAATCCAGGGTGTGCCTGCACTCCCCTGAGGTCCGGATCTTCCAGGTAGTATATGGGGGTTCTGACTGCCCATCAGCACTCAGCAGCTTGTAGGCGCTGTTCAGGTTGAGGCTGGAGGAAGCAAAGTGTTTGTAGACCTCTTCTGTTGGCTCTGCGTTGAAGTCCCCACACACAATAAGGGGAATCTTGGCTCCTTGGGTGATGTTTTGCAGGTTCTGAAGGAGGTCACAGCCTTGAGCTGATCGAAACCGCTCCCAGCCAGTGCGTGCTTTTAGATGGGTGACGGCAATGCAGAACTGTCGGCCTGACTCTTTGCACTCCAGGGTCTGTGCAATGGCCACCTGGTTGGTTTTCAATGTCATGGCTGTCAGCCTAATATTGGCACTGTTGATTAGTTTGAATCGGTTTTGGAGAAAAAATAAGGCACAGCCATCTGGTCCATTGTTATGTTCCACATCTAGACAAGGTGACCAGGGTTTAGGGAAAAACGTGCCTTGATAGCCTAGTCTACTGAGGAGTGGTTGGAAGGTGTCAAAATAGTGGTCCACCTCTTGGAGGCACAATATATCAGGCTGGTAGGCCAGGATTTCTTCCAGGATGAGACATTTCCTTTCTTCCCACTTGAGTGCTTCAACAGGGCATTGTACAAAGTTGTCTTTGCCTTCTCCAAGAGCTGAAAAGAAAAAGCTAGTCAGTTGTCAGCTCTTACAGAACCGTAACTTCAAAGTACCAGGAGTTTTGGCATCACTCAAGACCATCAGAATGCTGCTTCTGCTTTAGATGCTTTGAGTGGTTCTCTGTCCAACTGTGTTACCCCATCCAAACTAAATCACCTCTCACTATATGGATGAAGCAAACAGGTCTTTTGTTTCAAAACTATTTCATGTAACTATATCCAGGATATTAATATCTTACAGCCCAGGTGCGGTGGTTCATGCCTGTAATCCCAGCACTTTGGCAGGCCAAGATGGACAGATCATGAGGTCAGGAGTTCAAGGCCAGCTTGGCCAATATGATGAAACCTCATCTCTACTAAAAATACAAAATTAACCAGGCATGGAGTAGCACGCCTGTAGTCCTAGCTACTCGGGAGGCTGAGGCAGGAGAATTGCTTGAACTCGGGAGGTGGAGGCTGGCAGTGAGCTGAGATCATGCCACTGCAGTGAAGCCTGGGTGACAGTGAGACTCCATCTCAAAAAAAAAAAAATCTTACTTAAGGAAACTGCTTTGCAGTCCCAGTGATCTAAGCTATGTCAAATGAAATAAATGTAAATATTTTTATTGTTAATTAAAAAATTTTTTTGGTTTTTTTTTTTTTTTTTTTTTTTTT